TACCTCACTTTTGATTTCATACTCGACGTGTTTAAGCAACAAGCCTTTCTTCTCCGGCACCAGGTCGATGGTGATGGAGTCCAGGGCCACCAGGTCCTTGTAGGTGTAGCTCAGGACGTTGGGGTTCTTCTCCCGGCGCACCTGGGCACTCAGGGTCCTCAGATCACCCAGGTCACCCAGGTGATTTGGGTAGCTCTGATGGGGGGGAGGAAAAGTATCATTCTATTTCCATATGTAGGCAGTGTAGAAAGTCAAATTTTACTTTTAGGAGTTTCGAAATTTTAGATATGCCTCCAGCTTTAGAGAGTTTAGGTCTCTTACTTGCGGACTCCAGAGTCCATTGCTTCAGGAACATCAAGTCCTGTAATATAAGTGTTACATTTGAGTATTTACATTTATGTGTAGTATATTTCTATTTACCATCGACAATATGCAAACGCTGTGCAGCAAACCACTGTCATATTCTCCATACTTCAATACTATTGCATGTCTTGTAGACATTACTGAGCTTTATACAGCTTTATCTAAATATCTCCTGGCTGATAAATTCAGCTATGCCATCACTACAGTCAAAATCAATCAAGTGTCTGTTTTTTTGCAGTTAAGAATTCCTTTGTTATTTAGTTTTTAAAATTCCCTTGTTATAGCCATGCTTTGACCAGAGGTGGTTGATTACGCCAGCTTTACTTACTAGTTACCTCTTTTCTTTTGTCTGGTGATGGAATTTGACTAGTCACAGTGTTTACACGAATGTGATCTGACTGTTTTTTACTATACTGTTTAAGAATGCACGGCCGGGGAGTGGAAGAAATGTTTGACTGTCTACGACAGATCAAACAGCAGGAGGGTTTTATAACTCTGCAAACTCCAGTGTAAGTATGCGTAACAAGGATAAGAGAGTGTTACTTATCTCCATGTAAAAATGGAAGAAATACTGTAAGAAACATTTCAACAGTTAGTTTTCAGACATGTAGAAGTGAATACTACTTACCCTCCTTGCCATAGTTCTCCAGTATTTCTCGCTGACCGGCTTGCCTTGCTGTGCCAAGGCTACGAGAGCCAGGGCTTTGTACAAACCGCTCCGTGTTAAATACCCTTGCTTGCTGTCCGCTGCTTCCCATATCTGAATACAACCGACAAGCAGGGGAATGTATTATTGTGTACTGTTAATGATCAGTCCCAATACTGTGGCAAAATTTGACTTATTGTGAAGATTAAGTGAATTTAAAAATAACCTACAACATCCAAAATTAAATAAAGGGAGTTTCAGCCGTAAAAAAAAATAAAAGCTAAAAAGCGCCAGGCCCATTTTGCTAAAATAAAAGCTACTAAGCCAGAGTGTAAAATTGCGTCAATGACGGCAGTAAACTCAAAAGGCCTGTTGCTTAATAAGTCCAGTAGCTAGGCGGTGTTTAATTTTGAACACAAAAGCTTTGATAGAACCACGCCATTGTCCGTCACCGGGGTAGTGCTGGAATGGCTATTCTGAAGTTGCTCTCGGTCGGGTGTGGGTCAGGGGACCCAGGTCAAAAGTCACATTTTTCGAGTTTCATTAACATGTCGCGCTTTTGGATTAAATTGTTGAGATTGACCCCCTTATACCTTAAAAGCTACTTAAGAATGAAAAAAAAAGTCGGATAAAGTTTCTTAAGAATGATTTAAAGATTATATTTATATATGTTTCATATATCCTGGGTAATAGTGGAGCTGCTTAGGCCCATTATTTTCGCCCAAATTGTGCCCAAATCGTGGTAAAAGCCCGAAATGGGCTAACAATCATTTTAAGAGATGGAGCTAATGGACCCACCTTGAATCTTGCTGATTTGGGGGCGGAGCTTGATTTTAAAATAGGGGGTGCAAGGAATAAAAACTCAGAAGAATTGTATTATATATTTTCCTTCTTTTTTCATGCTTTTAAATAAACTTAGACATCAATAGTAGGTTTTGCCCTTCACCAACGTATAAACACTGTATACTCGGTTGTTTTACCTCCCAAGTGAAAGTTAGAAAAAAAATCACTCGGGTGGGAATCAAATCGACGACCTCCTGCTTTCTAGTGCAGACGTCTTACCACTCGACCACCAAGCTTGTGGGATCGGTTAGCTGGTTCAAATATGATGTACATTGTAGCAGCGGGTACCGCAACGAAACTATTCATAAGCTTCTAAAAAGACATGAGATAAAACTTTCTAGCATTTCCACACCTGTTATTTTCCGTCCATTTGTGGGTGTGGCCTAAATGTGTAAAGGGGTGGTGTATACGAGTGGTTGATCAAATTGTGACAAATCTTGTGCATTTTGGTTTTTAGCAGAGCTTGTTTACTTCTCTTTTTTTTATTGCTGAAGCTCCCCTTATTAATGTTGGATGTTGTAGATCATTTCAAATATATAATCTCTATCATGTCTATCGAACAGCCAATGCAATGGCAAGAATGCAGAAATCAATAGGGCTAGGTAAATTATTTGTAAATTATTTTGCCATTCTGTTTTGGCAAAGCCAAAGAAAGTTATTATTATAGGCCTAGTAATAATGCTGGTGCTAGTTTACAGAAGTTGAATATTGCCCGCATGCGTCAGTTGTAAACCGAATGGTTTTTGGACTTTCCCTTTAAATTCCTCCATCAGAGCCATGAATCAGAAAGAAAATTAGTTTCGCTTCCATTTAAAAAAGTAGGATTTGATTTAGAACAATAAAGATACACATTTTGGGAAATAATTATTTTGTGTTTTTAAGTTGTCTCCTCCCCCCCCCCCCCCCGTCCCCCACCCCACCCCCAACCATTGATTGTGTTATGGCTCATTCACAAAGACATTAATTCTTTTTAATTTAATCTTGAAAACCTGTTGGCATCACTTGCACCTACATCATGACACCTTAGCTTAGAGTTTAGCATAACTCCCAAACATCATATCCTAAAATTACCAGGAATCTCAACTTACCGTGCTCACGTCTGTTTCGGCAGACTGGACTTCACGAGTATCTTGACGAAAACATCTTGATCAACTTTCCCGTCCGACGGATTCGGGCAGACGATGTCGTAAACCTCACGGTAAAACGCCGGCACCGTACCTACACCACAAAAATAAAAAACCTCAATAAACACAACTTTCCCGAACCTTACCAAATGCACACATAATTGTTCTGAATAGGTCCCGTAAATGTGGAAAACTGAAGGATCAAATTAACGCCTGCGTTTCGACTCACCGTAAGCTAAATCGTCCGCCATGTTGCCTCCCCTTTTCGCTGGTTTACGTGCGTCGATATTTCCCCATCAATTGTAATGGAGAGCCAATCGTTGAGTACACATTGGAATAGCGATGTTTACCTGGTATCCGTACACATATGTACATTTGGCCTACGGCGGAAATGCACACATGACCGATTTTACTGAGAGGTCAAAAAGTTTTGACAAAGAAACTCGTGAAAGATTGTTTACAAATTAGGAGGCGCTCGCTACCTGATAACATCAGAACAGCACCATAATTATTTTGGACAAATTAAAGAGAGTTCAACTAAACTTAGCACACCCGGAATTTGCATTGCGATGAGTCATTGGTAAACAAAATATAACATGAGAATTTAGCTTTAAAAAGTATTTTAATTGCGCACAAAACTACACAAAAGTAGAAAAATATCAAGCAAACAAAAGAAACAAACAAAAAACTAACAAAAACTATTTAGTTTCAAGGACATTATAGACGTTCACTTTAATTTTAGCTGGATGTTTGAACTGATATGCAAGGGCGGGCAAAGTGCAATATAAGAATTTTGTTCAATTGGAACCGGCAAAAAAGACAAATAAGTATAACCTATGCAAAAAATGGGTCAATAAGGCCGAATAAAAAAAAAACATGTTTCTCGTCCGGGTTTTCAAAAAAAAGGAGGAAGCGGGGCTTTTTATTTTTAATTTTTTATTTGTTTCAAATTTTTTTTAAATATCCTGCAATTGTTGGTGTTTCCACTGTTCAAAGACACTTTTAAAATGAAAGATAAGTTGGACAAGAGAACTGAACATATTTACAGTGTCATTTAGACTTGTATTGGTCTACAATTTATTTTCTGATGAATTTGTGGACTTTTTCGTTGTTTTTTACTGCATTTTTCAAAATAAAAAATAACAAAAAAATCCAGGCGGCCTCCAAAAAGAAGCGGGCGGGGACGGGAAACATGTGGGTTTTTTTACTTCGCCTGAAATTAGGTTCACGTACCTAGATATATTGATTAATATTTCTGTTGGCAGGACAGTTTGCTCTGAAATATTGGAGACAAAATAGAAACAAGCTGTCTATCATTGCCCCATGCTCTTCAAAAAAAATTTCTCCTAGCAGACTTTCAATTTGTATGTTTTGTTTTAACCAAAAAAAATACTTCACCCAATTTTTGGCATATATGCAACTCTCCGGAAAAAAAAACACTTTAATTTTGCACACAAATGAACTTGCCCTGCAAGAGCCAGATTATTGTCAGCCAATAATCTGAATTATTTTGTGAAGACATAATTCAATAACTAATTAACATTTTTCATATAATTTAATAGTGAATAACATTTATATTGCTAGGAAAATAGCAATTGAAAAAAAGGTATTTTTCGAGGTGAAAGTTGATAACAAATCATTACACAAAATACTGAGAGCAAATATGTCAAATTTATCACAGTACTTTATTGCAATGTTGTTCCTTTTACTAGTGGAATTAAGATTCATTCAATATAAATGCTGTTTATATTTACGAAGACATTCCTTTGTTATTGCTTATCTTTTGTAACTCATGACCTGACTTGTGACTGGCGTGTCATTGACATGAAAAGACAATGCTGCCTGACCCTTCTAAATCATTCTAAGTCCACCATGGAGTTTTGGGGAATTTCAAAAAAAATACTTTTGGAAGGTTTAACAGCCCAGCACTATGACATAACATGTGGTTTAATGTTCTTCTAAAGTTTAAATACAAGAATGTGCCATGGGATTCCTACATATTTATGAATTTTGAAGAATTTAAAAAGTTGTCTAGCAAATATGCCAAGGTAGTTAAGATTAAATTATGATGAAAGTTCATATCATCAATATTTCTGTCTTATATCACCAATTGTTTTAATTTTTTTTTAATCTTTTTTTTTTCTCTCTCTCTCAAAAAGCGATACAAATTATTATTTTGAAAATGTGGAAAACTTGCTGAAAGACACTGGTTCAAACAAGGCACTGCTTAATTAATAACAAAATACGTCATTTAAAATCTCATTGTGCATGTTATGTACAAATTATACATACGTCTGAGAAACACTTCATTGACAAAAAGCTGACGTCGATTTAACACTAATTCCTCAGAAAGCTGTTCCTTTAAGGCCAAAAAAAAAATAATCGGTCTCTGGTCAGACCGAAGTTCCGGAATTGATGCGGCGATGCTGGTTTTTTGGTGTTTTTTTGGTGTTTTTTGTTTTTTTTCAAGCTTCAATTGTACAGACAAGGTGGGTAATATTTTGCTTTTTTGTGTCATTATACATTGGTGTCCTCCATCATTTGCCTTGGTGCCCTTTATCATTTGCCTTGGTGCAATTTCCCCATTCCTTGGTGCTCCTTGGTACAAAAATTTGAGGTGCAGCAATAGAGGGCGCTGTTGTAGCTTCCGTGTTAATTTGAAGAAGAAAAAAGGTTGACGCGCATGATTAAAATCGACGCGTGCGCTGACCAGAGACCGGGTATTTTTATTTTGGCCTAAAATGACTTTTCAAGTGTTATCCGAAATGATCTCAGTAACACAATTACACAGTTGACTACAAACATGAAGTTTTTTGGAGGCACCGTTTTATACCCATTTTAAAATATCGTTCAAATGACAAGCCAAGCCAAATAGTATTAGAGCAACTCAAGTCAACCCAAACAAATTTTGGTTTCAAAAGAGGTGAGTCTCTGTACTAACAATATGCTGTTGACTAGCTTACAGAGTCATTCCAAATGAATGGAAGTAATTTGTTCAATGTAATCTCTTCTTACTGTTTCAAACGTTGCACTTTCAGTGTAGTTAATTCAAGTCTTCAGATAAATTTTGTTTAGCATGACAGTGGAATGCTAGTTTGAAATTGTCAAATAATATTTACATAGTTGAATACAAAATATTTCTGCACTCTCGATTGAATAAAAAAGTCGCGCGGAAATTATGATATAAATTTTGCGCGGTCACAACATGGCTCCTGCGAGTAGGCTACAAAGCCCTCTAGAGTTCTGGCTCGGTCAAGTTGTCTCCATCAAGCTGGCACTGCCGACACTGTCTGCGACAACTGCTGGGAAGAGTTGTCCGCCGTGACACAGCAGACCATACAGAGATCTGTACAGGGCAGTACAGCTGCTGTCTGACGAATCTAGATTCTCCATCATTGGTAATATCTCCTGTCCGATCAGCTGTATAAACACCAAAAGGCAGTTTGCTGACAAAAGGTCTGACATCTGTTTTAGTAGGTAGGTAGGTTAAATTTAGTAGCAACCATTAGGTTGGATTCCATATACAATCGGCATTAGCTAAAAAAAATACGGAAAGAATGTAGTATCCAGATGCCACTTCAGCGGTTGTGTACAAAGTCTATGGAAAGTCAAGAATATTTTCAAAGTGTTTTCTAACAAATTGGAAATGTTTCTCAGTCCCAAATTCATGTCTTTTCAACATTAACGCAATGACTGGCCTTCATTGAGATAATATATGATGACAATGGCATGGGGATGCAACATTCTTTCCAAAATACATATGAACAGAGTAAATTACAAACACCAACACAAATTTTAAAATTAGAAGCTAAAACATAGAAAACAAGTAATATTTTAAAGAAGGCATTCAAATTTGCCTACAGGATGGTGTAGAACATTCTACAACCTTTTTTACAAATGGCGAAGAAATCTATACCTTTTCGGCCTGGATTTGCAGACTTAACCTCTGCACATCGTGTTGTAGCGTAGCTAGCCTTTGCAGTTCCCTGAGTTGACTGTACTCATAGTTCCTATGGCCATGTTGGCCTGTAGGGTCCAGGTACTCCATGCAACCTACCAACATTAGTTCAACAATATGTACAAATGCATTAAGTAAAAAAAATCATGTGGTGAGATGGGTATGGGCTCCGTGCGCAAAGAAGCGAGGGC